ACTTACATCGCTATAACTACCTCAGATGGTGAATAGTAAACATACTTACATCGCTATAACTACCTTAGATGGTGAATAGTAGACATACTTACATCTCTATAACTACCTCAGATGGTGAGTAGTAGACATACTTACATCGCTATAACTACCTCAGATGGTGAATAGTAGACATACTTACAATGCTATAACTACCTTAGATGGTGAATAGTAGACATACTTACATCGCTATAACTACCTCAGATTGCGAATAGTAGACATACTTACATCGCTATAACTAACCCAGAGGTTAAATAGAGGGTAGTATACATCGCTTTAACTACCCCATAAGCGAATAGTACAAACACATACACCGTACAATGATTTAACTACCTCAGATAGTGAATAGTAGAATAATTACATTGCTATAACTGCATCAGAGTGTGAATAGTAGACATACTTACAAGCAAACAAACAAATACACTGTACACCGCTATAACTAATTCAAACGGCGAATAGTAGACGTACAATCTTTCAAATTATTCGACTGTGTAAACAAGTGGATTCTTTACGCGTATATGGAAGTAATGAAAATGGCTGAGACAACTATTTCAATATCGTGTCACTGCTACTGCACATATCATGCATTATATATGTATGCATGTTGGTATTATCAAGGTCATTTGACTGAATATTATCAGTGGGAGATTAGGTGTAACAAGTTGATATCATAAACCAAAAAGGGATAAGCTTTCATGTCAGCTTCGGGCAATAATCAACCTCTTCATAACACGTGACTTGCGCATGACTCACTTCATGAGATGAACCTGAATTTTGCAAAATAATTTTGTAGACCAAATTTCAATGTATTTACGTAAATTATTTTTGGTTTCATTCGCCTGGTTATCTTTAATATTCGGAAACGCTTTATCACATGATTCTAATGTTAATCGACAGGAGGAACGCAATGTAGGAATATCACAAATTCACACGCCTCACACAATTCCGTTTGCGCATGTGCATTAGGTCGACCGAATGACAGCTGCTGGGTATGTGATAATATAATGAAATATACATTTGTTATAATTTATTCACCTACTTGATAATCCTAGTTGTACTTACTTCTGGCTGTTTCAAATTAAAGCTCTGCAGTCGCCGTGTGACACGTTTAGAATTTGGTGGGGGGAAACGCGCTACACGGGTTGTATGCATTATATGGGACCCATATAATAGATGCCCCGGAGCCGCTACAACTACGATGTTTTTTACTACCGACACTAAACCCGAGCATACTAAGATGCGAAGCAAGTGCAACCTACCTACATACAGGGCGTGTCGTCCAATACACTCAAAAGTCTTGTAATTGTCTTCATACATCCGTATATTATTGTGCCAAGTAGTAATAGAAATCTAAACATCCTTAAACGGCGATACGATTTCCACAATAAGATCTTTGAAGCTGTGCAAAGGGATTTATCTTACATCCGCATATCCGATGGATAAGTAGAGATAATGGTGTATCACCAACAATTAAATTGAAATTATGAAGTAATGCGACGACACGTTTACCATTAACGTTGCACGCCTTTGCGCTCTACGTGAGTGGCACGCATGCGTTAAAATAACCATCCATTTTTTGTTATTCTGTCGTGTATGTCTAGGTCATTCTCTCAAGTATGTCATCGGATGCGTTTTTTCTGTTTCCATGGCGACAATAATCCTATGGAACTACAGTTATTCTGGGCTTAGTCAAATACATTTTAATTGAGATTAATCCAAGATAGTTGATATATATCAAGAGTGTTTTGCAATATACATATATTTGCGTTAAGAAAACGATTCCACGGCCTTCGTGTCTTTCTGTACGTGCACGCAACACAGGAGTAAGATTCAACATATTTCTCCCGAATGAAATATACATCACATTTCATCAACTGTACTGGCACATTAAGAATTCCTGGATCTAAGGATTGACATTTCATTGCAACACAGTGACAAAAAATCGGCTTTAATTTATTATAAAAAATCAAATACAATTACATTATGATAGCGTATCTATCAAATATTGAAGTTTCTGAGCACTTCGAAGATAACAATATTTGTTTAAATAATGGGTTTTAAATTTGGAATGATATCGATTATTTTGGCGCGGTTTTATGAACCGATTGAACACGAGATTACTTCCTAAATTATTGGTAAGAATATATATACTTTATAAAAAATACTATCATATCAAGCTATTCGCCGAGTAAACGCCGTATCATGACGTATGTAATAGCTACTACGTGTCATCACGTAGCTGTAGTGATTATGATATACTAGTACGCCAGTGTCAATCTAGAACATATTAAATAATATAAACCAGATGTGAACTTTCTGAGTATTACAAAATAACTGAATAATTTAAACAAAATATATTATAGTATAGTCGCGAATATAACTGACAGTGTCTTCTCAAATTCAGCGGCTTCTTTTCCGATCGACGATATTCATCTTTTCTTGTTATCGTCAACTGTTTGTGCTCATCAGAGAAGAGACCGTCATTTTAAATGGGTCTGGCAGGAAACACAAGCGAACATAATATACTATGATCTGCATACAAAAGTACAGTAAGTGTGGTACATTCGTTACGATGGAATGGTTAAGAGATTCTCGGCACTATTACAGGTCTCTCTTTTCAGCGTTTTCAAATACCACAGGCGTAGGGTAATGTTTACGCTTTGTGCGAACCGCGCACTTTATTCAAAATGCAGAGTTGCCCGTGTCTTCATTAGCGGCTTTTGACAACTCAATACCGCCGCGATCAGCGTGGTAGAATGTAAGTGTCCATCTCGAATTGTACATCACAATTTTTATTATCGCCATTATTTTCCGCTGTCAAATTCGAGTTTATGTTTTGCTTTGTGTAGTTGGGATTGTCTGCATGGTTCGGTGATGGTTCGGTCAATTCCCAGCACCTGTTGTGCGGTGTTGCTGGTCCGCGGAGGTGGCCAGCGCCAACATATGGAACACATTGCATGTGCTGATGTTCAGCGATTGCCAACACACTCTCATAAGATGGCGGGGGAGTCTCCCCAGTGTCCGACCACATATCTTCTCCAAGTTCGTAGCTACACTGACCATCGGTGATTATTCCAACATTCACACAATTGTTATACGACGGTGGTGAATCGCAGTTAGCTACAGAGAAAAAAAAGTTGCCGAATATGATTTATTAGTCAGTTAAGTCAAATAATACAATTTAGGAATGAGATGGTCTTTTCTTATCACGCTTCTTAAATGCGATAGTATATGATGAAGTCGACATTTGCATATACAATTAATATATTAGGTTACATATGTCAGAATTGTGGTTGATTGTTAAGATTCATGAAATGGAATTTCTGGCTTGATTTGTCAAAATCGTGAAAAATAAATAAGCCTGAACACTTTTATCCGATTTTGTGAAATATAATTCATTTTATTTAAAACATTTTGTCATGATTGGATATTTTGATGGTTTGCATAAATTATATATGTATGTATGTTGTACGTTTCAGCCGGCCCTAACATATTTTGAACTGTTTTCAATGTCTAGTCAAAAGTTATGTATTCTGAACTGTGTGAAGATATACCTCTTATGATTTGCAACCCTTATTAATTATATAAATGTTATATAAATGAAGTCCTACAAAACAACTTTTTTTCAATACAAGAAGTATTCTCGGTCCGATTTTTGAGTGTGTTCCACTGAAAATAAAACATTGATGAGTACTCTCCAAAAAATGTTTTAATTTTAACAAAGTGCCTAAATAGAGAATACAATCTTTAAATGACAAATGAATCGTGAGTTTTAGATTAGTCGATGTCCCTCAATCACATGACCTCGGTATTATTATGAACAAAGCGATCAATTTGGAAATGAGATGAGAGTGATACTAGGGCATTCCATCCTGGGTTTAAATTAAGGTATAGTCAAGGGAACTACTAGTTGTTAGAGTGATGGAAATTAGTACACCTCGGTCCGATCTCCGTGCCACAAATGCACTTTAATTGGCTATTTAGAGCGCTATCTACTGTACAAGTCACAAATGACATTTTGTGCGCAAATTGGTCAGTTGCGGCCATTAACGGCACAAATAAAAAGAAAACACTATCGTTTTATTTGACATGTCTATTTTCACTGTCAATGAAATTTACAACATGTATATAACTAGTATGTTTCAACCGGAGCATGAAAATTGGATCTCAGACGAGCGTATCATAAAAGCTCTGAAATCGATCAGAATACAAATAAATTACAGAGTCAAACACTTAAAGGATTTCGTTTGAATTAGTAGGAATTGCATGGGGGTGGTGCCAGGTCACGCGATCAGTGTAGTCATCCGTTATCAGCTAGTCGTGAATAATTGCATAATATTAATCTTGTCATTATTGTTAGAGTTAAAATATGCTGACATATATCAGATTTAATAATGTGCAAGTTTAAATTTGAAAGCTCCCACCAAAAACAAACACGCTCTGACGTGAAATTTCGTGAATTTCTATTTTCGCCTTAAGTTTTTCTATCCTCTGGATCACATAATGCATATGACTTTGATGCTATGTCATCAAATTCCCAGGAACCATAATTTCTCACAATATAGATCGGATATCAACGAAACGTGGAGAAAATCGACACAGCTCATTAAGACGACTGAGCCTAATTTTTGGCGTATTGATTAATGGCAAACTTCTGCCACTCAAAGTGGGTTTGACGAGCATTATAGGACCGGGGTCCGATTACAGCTACCGTTACTTGACACTGAATTTGAGGCTCATTATCGGGACCGGAGGTCCGATTACAGCTATCGTTACCGAGTAATGTCGATTAAATGCACAATTACGGCACGCTGACCCTTGAAGCTTAGATATTAATTAATTGTTTTAATGAATATCTCTGTCAGAGTAGCTTGATTATTGCAAACAATGTACTCTGACACTGTGACATTGTGCTATTTTCTATCGTCACCTTTTATTTTTATATGCAAACCTATTTTTACGCGCGTATTTAACCTCATTAGCACCGTAACTCGATCATGTGAAAAACACTGATTGCTAATTGATTAATTATTTGAAATTAATTGGTGATATGTTACGTTTATTTTATGTCTAACATTTGCCACCTATAGGTGGTTTTAATGGCTTTTAAACAGTTATGTTGTTTTATGACGAGACTACATGTTGCGTTTCCTATTAGGTAACATCTACTGCAGCCTGGCATCGTAGTTGTCTCACGTTCTTTGGCATCACTAGCTGTATAACCCATTTATTTGACCATATATGGTCTTGTGCCTATCAGTGTAAACTGGGAATGAGAATATTGATTGGGCACAGTGATATAATACTTTTTTCTTTGACGTATTTCCATCTGCCAGTGCCAGAAATTTAATGTAAATTATCTAGAGTGTTAAAATACTCGTTATATGTAATATATTGAATAAATGAAAGCTACATTCTAAGAAATGCCCGAGAAATAACAATTTCAATACTGTAAAGTTGTGCTCTTCGATCTCTTATAGTGACCATATGTTTTATCTTTCTTCCACCTATTTCTAAACGGCCTTGTATATCGCCATGCAAAATGTTCGAAATAATACTTGTGTAATTAATTACGTTTCCTATCATAAAACCATAAAATATGCATGTGTTTTTAGTAGCTAGGAAGTGTTTGTATGAGACAATTTATTGCAATAACTTTAACGGAAGATTTCATAATTTCCGTATGTACGTATGTATGTATTTAATTTATTTGACATACGATTTGAACGGGGTTTAGAATGCTTTGTGTAATAATTAATCAAGTGGGACATTTGTCAGTTTTAATAACTGAAACACAGCTGTCGCTAAAGTTATTAAATATTCATAGATGTTTTCAATAGAGGGGCAATTATTCGTAAAACATTTAAACATTGGATGAGAGATACTGCTAGAACAGGTATGGCATGCGTCTTGCGTCAAGAAACTCACTTCCTCTGCGATCTCATCTGTGCACAATCACAGGTATTTTTTGCATCAGTTAAACCGTGCCGAGCCAGTCTCGATTGTGGTGGTTGAGGATTGGGTATAAAACATGTTCGAGTACCAATCTCATTCACCATAATAATGTGTGAAATCAGCAAAAGAAACCTGAATGATTGATAAATCTACGGTATATCATTCTTGGATTCCGTACAAGTGACTAGTATTTAATGGAGAACCACCGACACAGAGGGTTTTCTGGCTTAGAATAGACGAGCCAAAACCCAAAACGAGGAAGAGGTGGTTTTCTATATCTAAAATAATGTGATACAACACAGAACGTTGTTACAAATTTTAAGCTACAGAGGTTTTAATGGATTTCTAGAAATCCCTGATCCATTTCAGTATCAGCTGCTATTTAAATTTACATATTCACTTGCCCAACATTGCTGCATAAGTGTGTTATGTAAATTTTGACGAACAATGAATTGATGAGCAAAAACAACTGATACGTGCATGTGAAATCACAAGCCACATGTTCCATCTCTCCGACTTAACTCAGTCAGTAGATTGGTAGACTCTTTTCAAGTCCCGGGTTTACCTCTCTCTTTAAAAAATGAGGAGGAAGTTGCCCTCTATCTTTCAGACCAAAAACTATGTCGTCGATTTATAACAACATTGGTCTGAAAGTCCAGTAAAAATACTAGAAGTCCCGAAGGAATTTCCTGAATTCCTCATTCAATATCCCCGCACAATTTAGTAAACAAGAGAAGACCTCATTTGCCCACTTAACTTCACAAGTGCTTAAAAATAAAATAAAACAACACAGAGAAATCTCACCATTAATAATGCTTGGATCAGACGACACGAGACCAAACCTTTTGCATAACCACTTCGTTAATAAGGCAACCGCCACGCTTATAACGGTAATAGCTAACACTACGCCAACAGAGAAACACAGTATCCATATTCCATAGTTCTTAAAGACAATATTGTCAACTTCTTCACTGCTTTTCTGCGTCGTCTGGGATTCAGAGTTTACTGAAAGCATAAATTAGTCGTGATTGACAACAACATTTTCTTGTTTCTACGATTACTATGCCCTTGTGTATTCAAAAAAAATAATTTAAACATCAATTTGGCTCGCCTTAGCTAATAGCATATTCTTGTAGTATGTCCACTATAGTCATGTCAGTGTTGATTTATCGCACTCTGTAGTTTTATAGGGTTGAAATTTCCTCTGCGTAATGCGGACCAAATATTAAATCACCGATTCATTTTTATCGCTGTCTTCGGTTCTCATGGGTAGATTGTGATATATAGACTGTCGTATGATAATAACTCGTACAGAAGACAGTACCGTACCCTATCGTATATTTAATATAGTTAAGTGTGACGGATTATAAAACATGATTGTATATGATTTACTCTTTTATTGTATTCGGCAAATGCTAGACCAGAATCGACACTGTCACGTATTGTTATTTTTAGCGACACGGAACCATAACCGCCTTGTTACAACACGCCTCCCATCATTCAATACAGGACATCTGGATTTCACATAATCTCGTTTAAAATCAATATATATCATTTCAGTGTAGTCACGTAAAACATCTCACTGAAATGAGACATCCGATCAAAACATTTTTCGAGAATGGAATAAATATATTGGTGTGTTATACACACATTGGAATACCACGTGTTTGGTTCACATTTGTGATGATCGCCGATCTGCTTGTGCGCACTGCGTTGTAACACCGCCCTAGCATGCGCAATAGCTTACTGGGTGAAAGTTTGTTGCTTTGAGAAGCGTGTATTGCCCTGTGGAGTGTGATACGAGTTGATAAACAAATGATGTCATTCGGTTGGCATTCAACGACGCACTTGTTTTGTTCACTGGGGAAATGACGTGCACGTAAACAATAACGGTGACACAAACTGTCGGTCAAATCGTTTGTCACCACGTACGGTTCAACTCAGCTTACAGAACGCCGCGTTATGAGTTTTGGTTGATACGTGGCTGCATCCGGTAAATATAATTCAAGAAAAACTTTTAAAAAGTCTCGCTAATTTGAACAATATTACCTGCCTTATTATGTGAAAGATTGTGTTCATGACAACACTTGTGACGTCGTCATTCTGTTGTACATAGACTGAAAAGTTCGCGCATTAATGGTTTGAATATAATAATGATTATTATTATGAAATATAAATATTGATATAACTTATATGCAATTATACGAACACACAACTCATAACGTCATTTCAGAGTGTCGGTTCTATTTTAAGATATAACATACTGTCGAAATACAACATGTGACTAGAACCACTACTAATATCCACAGTCAACAAATATAACAGGAAAGACTTAGTTTATATATTTTGTCGAAATTTTCTTTTGCCCGTAATTTGTTATTGAAACCAAGTATAGCTTACATGGAATTTTCTAATCGCACTGTGCCCGAATAACACAGTTTCCATTGCATTGTACTGACGTCACGGTGGTGTGTATTGTCTGAGCTCGACAATCGACGACGTGAAACGATAATAACAATACAACTCACATTTATGACCATAAGCGTCCAAAACAGCAAACGACCAAACTATCACGACTTCTAAAATCCGCCAATGCATTCTTGAAACAAAAACAGTATGTTTTGTTTGTTTTTCAAATTAATCAGCTCAAACAAAGACAAGTGCACCTGCGCTGTGTGTCTCTCTATAATAATATATAACTGGCGGCGTGTGTCTTGATAACTTGTACTGGTATGTGCTAGTTGCACGCTCTCTGAAACATAACAACAATGCCGTTATTAAGCTGGCTTTCTACTATATATAGAAAATATAATGGACGAGGATTAGAATATACAGTACCTTTCGCCCGTATGAGTCAACACTATTTTCGTAAATACACTATCGCTCCGTTTCTAATAACACACGCTAAGCGTTAGTGTGTGGCATTTAAACTCTTATGTGCTCGCTGATTCGGCAATTTACCGGTTATATACATAATAGGATATGTGAAAGTCGTCCCTTACTAACCATGGACCGGTCAAGACTGGTCCAGATAATACCGGTAATACTTTTGATGTAAACATGGTGTACAGTGTTAGTTTTAATTTACGTGAGAAGTGAACTGTTGCTCTATAGTGGGGTCATTACTTGGCCTCATCCAACCAAACTATAGAGTCACTGTCTAAGGTGTGTTCGTTAATGACGACATAGGTTGACAATGGGTGGAACCAATAAAGACTATTAGATGAATTGAGAAAGGGGTGTACTTAATAGTTAATATCCAGCACCTTGAATCTGTAGCAAAACTTTTCTGTGACGTTTTCGTATAGTTTATGAGAATTATTATTATTAGTATTATGCAGAATAATCCCGAAATCGAATTGTGAAGACTCTTCAAAAAATGATTTCCTACAAAATAGCCTTGAGCGAAGGCAAGCTTCAATACTCCAATATTTCAGCATGGAAGGTACTAACGTACTAGCGTGTCATTGTTTATAAACAAGGGTCTACCCATGAGTCTTTGCGTTTTTAGCGTGTGTTGTTATCGTCGCTTGGGAATCAATTCCCGCGCGTGCGCAGGTGACGACTCTACCGCTTTAACGTTTCAGTGGCCATCAGCTTAGTAAATGTATATTGCTATCATAAAGCGGGGAGTAGACCAATATTCTGCTGGGGGCACGGTTAGAATTCGGTAAATGCATTACAATTGTAATTAGCATCTCCCAATCATCACATGGCCTCAAATAATATAAAAACATAAACAATTAACCGACAGCTTTCTGTAGAATCGCATATCAAATATCCAAGTACTTCAATCGGAGTTCAAAGACGATAATATTGACTTAGTACTACTGTAAGTTCATCACAATAGATACCAATGTGTATACAAGAAATTTGAAATTGTGACTATGCATGACCATTTCAATAACTCATATGCATGTGTGTGTAAAGTTGTATCCCACTTAAACCGTGTTGTGGGCAGCTGACAAATTATCTTCCTTCCTCAATTTGAAACTCATTTACTAGACAGTGTTGTTGTTAATCTCGTATCTTCTGTAGTCATGGCGACTATTTCTATCTGCCAATAACGATAGATAGAGTATATAACACATGTGGTTTTCAACAAAAAATATTACAACATCATAGTTTATTTCTCCCAAAAGAATTGGAAAATATTACATCCATCATGACTGCACAGGATTTGATTTGCGATATGACTGACTGCTCATTCAATCACTAACGACATGTAATACGGCATGCTCTTCTCTCTAATCACTGTAAAACAGGCAATAGACAGTGAAGATAAAGCGATGTATACTGTCCTCTTTCTACTAATCACATTTGAATATAAACGTGAGAGCGTGACATTGCGATCCGCGATAGACTGTCAACTAATATGCGCCAGGTTATTTAATTGTATGCCTCCTCAATTCAATAGCAAGGAACACATATCGGCAGAGGTAGCTGATATTAATCCCACATTCAGTTACAGAACTAATAATGTTACGTGTAATATAAACCACCATATATAATATTTATATAAATTTTTGTAAAATATTAGCATTAGGAAAATATTCAAATAAGATATCGTCTCGATCAACACGACATGTTCAATACGACAATATGTCGTGCTGTGTATGGAAGGTACATTTCATTGTGATGTTGTCGTATGTCGCGCTGTCTTCACCCATCCAGTGTTTGCCGAATGTTTGCAGCCATACATAGTTGTATTCATTAGGACCCGGATGAACACTGTGAATGTCATTTTATCAATAAATGCAATAGATCTCAATTACTTTCCGACAGGTAATTAGAACCGTTTTTTGTGAAGAGAAAAACGCTACCCTTGTTGCTATGCAAATGACGCTAATTAGTATGCACTGTATCGAATATCGGTGATACAATGAATATATGAATGTATATATCTCGATTGCTGATTCTGTACTTACATATACTGTGATATCGACACCGAGCAGTCTGAAATACACGTCAGGGGATAATTTGTGTCTTATCAAAACCTCGTGTTTAATAAATTTGATATTGTATCACACACGTTTGGAAGCTTTGTGAAACACGTAAAATATCAACGGAAGTGTTAAGTGTTAATTGCGTAACATTTGTCACATTTATACAGACGATCGACATTCCATGTACGTTGTCTATCGCCTGTTTGTGTATTAGGCCATCAATATACTCACGGTTTCGGGGTGCATATGTCTACTAATTGTGGAGAAAAATCAATTCTATATCTTGACACAACCTGCGAGAAATGCCTACTTACAAATGAACATACAAATTGAAATTGTAAGAATTGTAAGTCTTTTCAGTGAATGAGGCTTTATATAACACGTGTTAACTTCATATATTTCAACTTATAGTTGAAACCAATCTGATTAAAATCCGATGTAGGTATGAGGCTCGAATTTTTTTTTATTATTATTTATTTATTGTTTTTTTTTGTAACCCTCTATATTATATTTATTTGTATTTTAGTTTGAATATGTCGATATTTTGGTTTTTCTTGCCGTTGATCAGTTCTTAGAAAATCGTGTCCCAGTCGCCTCTAACTACATCTGACTCAAGCCTATACAAATCTCGTACAACGAGATCAGTTTTCGACGAGTTTTGTCGACCAATCATAGTGCGGCTTACAAAAATAGCTGTCTGACTTTGCGCATGTGCCAGACTCATCGTTCCTGGTTAGTTCAAGATGGCTGCAAGTAATGTTAGAACCGATGTGAAATCAATAGAGGATTCCGAATTTGAGGTGAGTTTTAATCACTTTTACAAAAACTTAATTATATTTTGTGAGCAATCTCGATTGATGTATGTAATTCATTTGAGATAATTCGGATTTCAACTTTGATGACCTTGTATTACCACAGGTGAGGCGGCGTTACTCGATCATTAAACGGTCCGAGCACCTGTGAGTAACAGTAACAGTTTTGTCTTTATGCCATGACTGTGACCTATATGCTTGAACAAGTAACGTGAATAATTTATTTGCCGAGTCATTTTTTTTTATTGCGTTATATTAAATGTGCACATTTCTTTAAGGTGTGCAAGAAGGAGGCATTAACACATCTGTTATCAAAAAACAATGTCCAAGCCATCCTGCCAATTGGATTTGGTTAAATCACTAATCTACCCAAGTATAATTCAGGAACCTGGTTCTGTTATCATAGTTTATCCTGTGGTTTCATTAATGAACGTTCAGATAAGATTTCCACTCAACATTAAAATCATAGTTTTACCTCCATGCATTATGTGTGTTATAAATTGTATAAGTTCATGTTGAATGGTCGGTTTAAAAGTGGCTTAGCCACTCATTTCATATTTTCTGATAAAATGCGAATATTTTTAATGTAGGATGTATGTGAACATATTCCCCCACTACTGCATGTCTACAGAGCTGTGTTTGTTCATTAAGTTATTTGGGCAATTCATTATAAAGCTGCTCATTTTAACAGAATTTCAGTGTACATGTTTTATTTAATAGAGAATTTGTTTTTCAAAATCAGGAAATGATTAGATTTGGAGTCCTAACTTGTACATTTTTACCTTCAAATGATAATTTCTGTGATCTTTTTTGTAGGGGTGAACAACTAGATGGCAGGTGTAAGACACAACAAAGTGCATTCAAGGAATTTTTCTAGCATGTTTGGGGAACTACGCTATTTTACCTGATGTTACAGTTGTTGCACTGACCACAACTGCCTCAAAGTCTCTACAGTCCCAGTTGAAAGACAGCCTCATTACACTATTCCAGATTGTAAGACTATAAACATTTGCCCAAATATAAGGAACATTGGATTGTCAGTCATAAAGACTCCTAGGAACAGTGCATCCATATTGTATTGGATGATTGACAAAATAAGAGAAGAGAAAGATACTTTCCCACAGACAATTATTTATTGTTCATTAGCTCTTTATCATTATTTCAAAGAGGAGTATTCCCAGTCAGTTTTTTCATATGCAAATGTTCTAAAGGGAAACTGACAGTATTGTACAAGAATTGCATCCAAAAGAAGAAGCTGAAGTGTCCAACTAAAGTTTGAGATTAATATTCTGTCACACAACCTTTGGTATGGACATTTTTATCAAAACAACTCATGTACTCCATTTAGATCCCTCTTTCGATATTGAAAGTCATGATACAAGGGTCGGGTTGAGTTGGTAGAGATGATGAACCATCTCAACAGTCTTGTTTAATCATGTAAATTAAAAAAATATATAATAAATGTAACATTATGTAGGAGGGTTAACTTATTTGAAGATTTTGCATCAAATGAATTCATCAGTGGCATGAAGAGCAAAAAACCACATCACCTAAATAAGTGACATATTGGTTAATGTCATGAAACATAGCATATATTTACAGGTATATCAAACCATTAATTAAATTTTCATGTTCATCTGCTTAAAAAAAATTGACATAACAAGGTTTATTCAAGTATCAATAAATATTTATCTCTCAAAGAAAATACGTTTATCAATCACTAATTTACTGAAAATACTCTTGTTATATTTATAAAAGTATTTGGCAGCTATTCATCACAGTTTTAGAATTTTAATTTTTGTTGTTAAGTCAACAGGAATATGTGGCTACCTACTATTGGTACTGTTTATCAAAATAGCACAACTATTCCAAAATGCCTGTTGAGAATCTTGGTTAAATAACAAATTGATGAATACTAAAGATACCTGTTTACAAAAAAAATTAAAATAATAATAAAAAAATAAATAAAAAAAATTGGAGTCTCATACCTACATCGGATTTTAATCAGATTGAGTTGAAACTATCAGAAATATTCGAACTAAAATATTTCCTAACAATCATACATGACAAATAGTGTAACACTCTAACGGCGATATTTTCATTACATACGGAAATATCAAAAATAGTTACATTGCTTTATCATATGGAGTTTTCGTGATATAAGGGATTGCATTTGTTATTGGTCAGTCCCTTGTCGTTCAGAATTTTCATTTCTTGAATCTTGTGTTC